ATACATCTATCAAACTACTAAGCTAGCTCTACCGACTAAGACGCTAAGTTGCCTATCATTTCTATTAAATAGGTATGAAACATTTCATGTATTAACTTAGCAACTAAAGACATTCTTACTCTTAATATCAATTTACTATATATATATGATAAAACAAGGAGTATTAGCTACCCTATTTATCAACCTATTCTAAGGCTACAAAAATTATAGTGATCACATAATAATACAATGAACCTACTGTAAAAATTTCATGGCTAAATCTATTACCAATTTGCCACAAAAATTCCTACAAATATTAAGCTAAATAATGCTAAGCTTCCCTAAATAAATTAATGAATCTATCATTATCATAGATAATTATAAACTGAATACACCAACAGATAGATTATATTTTTGTGAACCTAACAAATTTTGTTTCACTATTTTTGACACCTACAACATTTACTATAATTTTCCAAAGATTAGCTCACAATTTAAATTAGAAAAGCATCTACTAATTCCCCGGAAAAAGAAAACTGAATTCAACCCGTGGCCCATTAACTCATGGCGCGGCCCATGCCCGCGCAGTGCGCATGCGCGACCCACCGGCGTGGCCCATGCGGGCGCGGCCTAACCGCACGACAACGGCCCACGACAGGGAGGCCCGCGTGCGCCGACACAATTACGAAAACATCCTCGAGCTATCGGCGATTCACCTCGAGGTCTATAGTACTATTCCTACAGACTGCTCTATTACAAATATACCCTCCCCCTTTTCTTCTTTACAACAGCCAGGTCCCCGGGCACCTGCGTGCGCATCGGCGCGGCGACGACGGCACTAGGCGGTGACGTCGGCCATCCTAGCCCCTCCCTGCCCTCGATAGTGAGCCGATGCTCACCTAGATGCAAACATGAAGCGGTGGGCGGTGAAGCGGTGAATGGAGACGCGGTCTAGAGCTTTCTCCATGGCGGCGAACTCCCCCTCTGGCGGCGGCCATGTCCCTATGAGCCAAGGCACAAACGACATGAACGAACCAAGGAATGGGCATCAGCAACTCACCCAGAACCTACCCGATGTGGTGGCTTGGCCGAGGACAGACCGGGTGCGTCCGGCCACGCGCACACGGCAAGCACAGCAATGACCACGGTGGCGCGGCCGCATGAGTGGTGCTGGGCAGGCAGTAGCACTACAAATGGGGTGCGCACGGGGTGAAGGACTACGAGGCGAGGCTGGGAGTGCAACCAATTGGGCTCAGGAGGACCAGGCGGGTAATGCCCACGGCAGCGGCGTCTAAGCCTTTAATGGCGCGATGGCGGACGCCGGCTCCAAATTGCAGCTTGCCAAGGCACAATTTGACACGATGCGGGGTCGGTTGGCTAGCAGGCTAGAAGACAGAGTTGGGAGCACTCTAAATTGACTGGACATGACCTATCCATGCCGAATTGGTGGCGCGACCTGGCTGGACTGGGAGCAGAGGAGGGAGGGGAAAAGAAAAGAATGGGGCCGGCTGCTTGTCCAAGTCCTGGCGGGACGTGGCTGACGCACATGCGTAAGCACTGCGAGCCAACGCAGCCAGGAGAGGGGGCATACCCGCGGGCGAGCGGTGGCCACGCAGCAGCGTGGTCGTGGCGCCATTGATGGCAAACGATAAGCAGGTGGCCTCAGCAAGGCCACGTGCACGAATTCGACGACAACGACGCAGAGATGCAGGCGGACGTGACACAACGGTGTGGCATGGCGATGACAGCGCGGCGTAGCACGGTGACGGGACGATGGTGGCGCAGCGGCTCAGGTGGACGCAATGCAACACAAAGCAGCGACAGTGACCCGGCGAGGGCAGGCGGCCAGGGCATCAGGCCCACCGAGCGTGGCGGTGCGTGGCGTGGGAGTGTGCGTGCTCTGCTCTTGCAACACGTACCTGGGCGTGGTAGCGACGATGCCACTACACCTGAGCAGAATGGCGATGGCTCCTAGCGGAGCAGAGCCAGCAACAGAGCGACGTGGGTGGTCCCAAGGCACCAGCAGCGACGTCAGCGGCAGCGCACCTCGCAACAGTGGAGAGGAGCAGCTGCACGCTCGGGCAGCCAGCCACCGTGACCAGCCGGGCGTGGCCAAACACGCTCGCGCGTGGCCGACACGTCGACAACGGCATAAGAGCACGGTGACCGCGTCAACGCGAGGAACTCGGCCCATAATGTGCCATGCACGCTTTTTAAAGCATCCCAAAAATTCAATTCTATGATTCAATTGACAAACCACCTATGCTATACTTAAGAGGGCATGCTAGGCTACTAAAACAAGACTAAATACCCCATCACTCCTTAATCCGATTCTTCTACAAAAATCACCAAACCTAGCTTTATCAAACCACTTTTGAGTTGAATTTTTACAGGCCTATTCACCCCCTCTAGGTGTACCAGAGATCCTACACGCCGAAAGTTTCGGCTCTGGCTATGTTGACCATCTTTGACTGCACCTTGAACCGTGTTTTGTAGAAGGGCCGGAAGTTCCGGCGATCTGTGTCGGAACTTCCAACTCAGATCTGAACGGTTGAATTTGCCTATGAGTATAAATAACTATCTCCTCTCCTCTAACCATAGACCAGTCATTCATTGCTCTCCAACCTTCGTCCAAAACAGCTCCCAAGCATTCAAGGCACCCCTCTCCTCTCCCCTTTGCTCCAATATTTGATTCCCGTAAGATTTTGAGTGAAAGGAGAGTGGATTGAGTGAGAGAATCACTTTGGCAAGCTTGAGCACTTGATTTCTTCATCAAGCCAGTTGGATTTACGTCTATTACTCTTGGGTTCTTGAAACCCTAGCCGTCTAGGCGTCGCCCAAAAGCTTTCATCTTGTGGAAGAGCCTTGGGAAGTTTGTACTACCCTTGATTTCTTAGTGAAAAGCTCAAGTAACCTTTGTGATTGCTTTGAGAGAGGCAAGGAGGTGAAAGAGACTTCGACCTTTGTGGTTACCTCAACAACAAGGACGTAGGAGCTCCTTTGTGGGGTTGCCGAATCTCGGGGATAAATTCTTATGTCCTGCGTGCTTGTTGTTGTTGTAATTTGTGCTATCATATTTGTTCTTGTTGGTTTGTCTTCCTCCCCAACTCTCCTCTTAGGGTTTAGACTCGATCTACGAAGTGGTGACCTTCCGGCGTCAAATAAGCAACCCCAACACTTCACCTTACCACTAGGGAGTGGGGTTGTAAGATATCTTTCACTCAAAGTTCGTTTTAACACTTGTAGTGTAATTCTCGTAGGTGCCGAAACTCCCGGCCGTTTGCGTCGGAACTTCCGGGTGCCAGAAGTTTCGGCCCAAACTGTCGGGACTTCGGACTGTCACTGACATTTGACTTTGAGACCACGCAGAAATTTTTAGATACGTCTATTCCACCCCCCTCTAGGCATTGTTTAGATCCTTTCACCTCATCAGAGTACTTCTACTTCTTACCTTGAGTAAATGCTCTAATAGAGAGAAATAGCTATATTAATTTCTCTCAAGGCAGGTGCTATACCCAATTTGTGATTTGGTGTGCCGTGGATAAATATTGTCGAATGGATGGAGTATGTAACCCTTTCTCTCAAAGGTTTTCAGGATTCATACCATTATAATTTTTGGCCCCGTTCGCTGGTCTGAATCTTGGCTGAAACTGGCTGAAAACACTGTTCCGGTTGAATTGTTGTCAGAGAAAAACACTGTTCCGGCTGAAAAAACAAGCCGAACAAGCCGAATATGGGGTAAGCCGAACGAGGCCTTTGAAGTTGGGAGAAATACTATTATTATTCGTCTATTTTGAAGATACTATTACAGTTCTTCGTTTTCCACAAGAATGCCATATAATACGTATTGAGACGACTTGGGCCTAGTTGCAGGCATATACGACAACGTATATTTCATTGCAGCCCTTCTCCCATGTCACTGACGCGCGGGCCCCACGTGTCATCATTTTCTTCCTCCTCTTCTCATCTTCCCTTGCTAAGCAGCATCCTATGGCGAGCTGGTGAGCCGCCGCCGTGACGGTCACACGGCCACACGGGGTGAGCAGCAGATGCAGCAGCATGTCGGTCTAGGCCGCGAGCTCCGTCCGACCGCGAGCTCCGCGCGTCGCCCAGGCCACGAGCTTTTGCGCCAGTCGTGTGCTCCGCGGGCCACATGCGCCCCACCGCTGGCCGCTCGCCCGCGTGCTGCTGCTGCTCGCCATCGACGGCGGCAGATGCTGCTTAGCAAGGGAAGATGAGAGGAGGAAGAAGATGATGACATGGGGGGCTCGTGTGTCAGTGATGGAGGGGAGGACGTCGTATACACCTGCAGCTAGGCCCAAGTCATCTCCATACGTATTCTTTGGTATTCTTGTGAAAAACGAAAAATTATAATTATACGTTTCAAAATAGGCGAACTGTGACGGTGTTTCTCTAAACTTTGAAAATTATAATGGTATAAGAATAAAAAAAACTCCTCTCAAAGCATGCACATACCGTTTCTATAAAAAAACAAAAAGAGCATCCATATTTATATCTCTAAATATATTTACTGTAAAAATATATTCACTATTAATTTAATAATAATTATTTTGTATCATAATATTGATATTTCTCATATAACAACAAAACTGTGATGAGGGAGTATCTCAACTAGTGCAGTATACGAAGAATTTATACAAAACAAAAATAAAAAGGAGCAAAAATCCAAGTGACTCTTTTTTTTATTATTGGAAGTGGCTCTTTTTTGAGAGGCAAATCCAAGTGGCTCTGGACTGGAAAGAAATGGAACCATCTAGAGCCTTTTGGAAGCAGCAGCACTCCTCGCGCGATCCCGCAGTTTGACAAGTTTGCCCCTGTCGCCCTCAGTTCTCTCCCGGTCCACCGCTTCGTCTTCTTATACCCTCCTGCTGACTGCCCTCCACCCCCCCGGGTGCATCCTCTCCCCCATCGGCGGTCTTCCCCCAAGTCGTCTAAACCCTAATCCCCAAATCCCCGACGCAGACAACACGACGCGCACCTGCGTTCGCGGAGGAGGAAGCATGAGGTACAGCTCGTTGCGATCTTTCCGTAGTTCTTGTTCTTGGATTCATGAGACGTGGTGTGGTTGTTTTTGGTGCTCTTCTGGTTGCGGTGTGTGTGGGACGTGTGATTGTGTGCGAATAACATGGCGCTATTTTGCTCATAGGTTCTCAGAGGGTCGCCTGTTCTAGTTTGTTGGGTAAAATTGACTTGGAGACACGGATGCGCCTGAGAAATTTGTTGTTACTGACTTGTTTAGCGTGGTCGCTAGGAAATCTGAAACTATCAATCTTCTGATTGATGTAGCCATGCTCTTGACGCTTTCCGTAATCCTACATCTAGCGCTTATGTTTGTGCTTAATACTGCTTCCTTAATCGGGGTGAAATATGAGATGATTGCGTCAAACGGCCAGTAACCTGCAAGTTGCTGGTGTTGCGAGATTCGAATATTCTGTGGTAGCATCTCTTGGTTATGCAGTACCTGCTTAGAGGATGAGATATATATGTTGACTTTTGAGTATGGTTTTGAGGAATTTCATGGGTCCGATTTTGCTTTGCAGTCGCCACCCAGTCACTAAGTGGGCACAGAGGTCCGACAGGGTGTTCTTGACGATAGAGCTGCCCGACGCCAAGGATGTGAAGCTGAACTTGAAGCCTGAAGGCCATTTCAACTTCTCGGCCAAGGGCTCAGATGACTTGCCCTATGAGTTTGACCTTAAGCTGTTTGATGCTGTGAATGTGGAGGTTGGTTTACTATTTAACACATGCTTTCTCTTGTGGATGTAGCATTTTTTCAGGTTCTAATTCTATCGGTCTTGCTGTTTGCAGGAGAGCAAAGCAGTTGTTGCCCCAAGGACCATATGCTATCTGATCAAGAAAGCTGAGCGCAAGTGGTGGCCAAGGCTGCTGAAAAAGGAGGGCAAGCCACCTGTGTTCTTGAAGGTTGACTGGGACAAATGGCAGGATGAGGATGATGAGGATGTTGGATGTTAGTATTTCAGTTTTGGTTGATTCTGTTTTTGTTTCCTTTATTTAATTTAGCTTGAAGTGACATATTATTCATAACATTGCAGTTAATGACTTTGGTGATATGGACTTCTCGGTAAGTGTCTAGTGAAAGTTTTTTTGATGATTAAGATGGGAGCAAAGTTTCATGGTGCCTTGTCATTGTAGAAACTGGACATGGGAGGTGCTGATGATGACGATATTGAGGAGGATGAAGATGATGTGGTTGAAAGTGCTAGCAAAGGTACATCATTCTCCTTGTCATCCCAATTGTTTATTTACTTAAGGGCAGCTGTTCCTAGATTTAGCCATGGATTTACACTATCATGGGGGTACAAACATTCTACTACATATTTGGGTGGTTTGGATACTTGAATAATCTCTTGTTGATAGTTAACTTGTAATCCAGAATATTTCTGAGGGTGTATTGACATAGTAGTAGAAGCTCTTGCAACCTCAGTATGGCTCATGACTCTTTTCAAGTGACATCAACAGGAGCATACAATAGCTCAATAACTCACATCAGTATCACCCTGTCAGAAAACAATGACGGTTTCTAGAATTTCAATTTTCTTAGGTGGTTGCTACATCTTGATGTTTGGCTGCTAAAATTTTTGACAACGATATCCTTAAATGTTCTGTTGACTGTCGTGGACACCACATTTCAAGCTGCTAGACCCAGTCATTTGCCGCGTGTTGCTTCTTAGGCAAGACTGTGCCAGTCTTATATGTGTTGATTTCTGCACAGTGATGTATGGTCTAAGTGTAGTGGTCAAGTGTTGACTTGTTTACCAAAGTGATGTGGGGAGTCATATTAGAAGTCCAAATTGTTTTGCTCCTGAAGACCATTTCAGTCTTCACTGGTTCCATTTCTTTGCGTTTTGAAGACATTCTACTCTGGTACTAATCTTGTTTTCCGGATAAAATGCAGATGAAGGTGGTAAGATAGAGGAGAGCAAGGGGGAGGACGCAGCAGCAGCCGCAGAGGAAGTGAAGCCATGAAGAAGCATTTGAGTTTGCTCCATGCCATAGGTGTCTGCAGTATCTAGCTAGGCTAGATGTTCCCTTAGATTTTTGGTGTAAAATCTGATGGATGAATCACTCACTGCCTACGAAGTAAAGAATACAAAACAGTTGTGCTGTTTTAGTTTTTGGCTGAACCTTGTGAACTGCTGATATGATATTTGGTCAGAGCTTATTTGCATCCATCATGGAACGTGACTCTTGATGCCGCTCGTCAGAAGTCAGAACATGTGATACTGCTTGAACAGGTGTGATGCTGATAGTGTAATCAGAATATAGAGGAACCGACACTCCGTAAAACTGGATGCAAGTTACCATATCACTATGACCTCCCAGCTCGACTCAAAAATCGACCTAGGTCGGCCAGGAAATTTTAAGGAGTGGCATGCCACCTAATTAATTTTAGGATTAATTGGATCTATGCCATTATAATTTCTTCGTTTAAGAAGAACGCTATTACTATTCGTCTATTTGGAAGCATGTCATTATAATTCTTCGTTTTCCACAAAAATATCACTGAATACGTATGAACATAGTCTGGGCCCAGCTGCAGGCGTATACGAAGACGTATACTTCATCTCCCCTGTCACTGACACGCGGGCCCCACATGTCATCTTCTTCCCCCTCTTCTCCGAATCTCTCTCCGGTTCTCTCTCTCCATCCCCAGCGCCAGGCCGCTGTGGGTCGCCCATGGCGATGGCCGGCGCCGCCGCCGCGGGTCACTCCTCTCCCACCCGTCCCCTTTCCGGCTCCGCCTCCTCCACACCGCCCTCTCCACCGCCGCCCCCACCCTCGGCCCCACCTCCACTCCCGCTCCCCCTCCGCGGCACGAGCTCCTCCTCGAGCGCCTCCGCCTCCGCCACCTAAGGACGCCTCGTCCCCTGGCGTCCCGAGGGCCGCGGAGCGAAGCTCGCAGCAGGGGAAGGGGAAGAGGGTCGAGGCCGCCGAGAGCTTCGAGGAGCTCGGCCTTGGGGAGGAGGTGATGGCCGCGCTCGGGGAGATGGGCATCTCCAAGCCGCGAGCAGCAGCAGCAGCACAAGCCCTCCTTGCTCCAGCGCCTCCACCAAGCACCGCCGCCGCCATTGCCGGGGTCGATCTCCTCGCACAAGCCATCTTGCGCCCTTCCGCTGCTTCCATCGGCTTTGCAAGTGCTCCCTCTCTGGCTCTATCTCTCTCTCTCACGGCAGCCCGCCATTATACGCCATTATACGGCCACGGCGAGCAGCAACAGCACGCCGAGCAGCGCCGCGGGCGAGCAAGCGGGCGAGCAGCAGCGGTGACCTGGGCTGGGGGCGGGGAAGGGGCCATGCCTGCTGGAGCTCGCGGGGACGGGGATGGGACCGCGCCTGCCGTATCCATGGAGGAGGAGGCGCCTGCCGCCGGGGAAGGCCAGCAGCACGCCGAGCAGCGGCGCGCGAGGTCACGACAGCGGCTCGTCAGCTCGCCCGCAAGCCCGCAGCCGCCGCCGCCGGCAGCGCCCGCCGTGGCCACGTCGGGATGGAGAGAGAGAGCCGGAGAGAGATGAGGAAGAGGAAGATGACATGTGGGGCCCGCGTGTCAATAACAGGGAGATGAAGTATACGTCTTCGTATACGCCTGTAGCTGGGCCCAGGCTGTGTCCATACGTATTCAGTGATATTTTTGTGGGAAACGAAGATTTATAATGGCATGCTTCCAAATAGGCGAATAGTAATGGCGTTCTTCAGAAACGAAGAAATTATAATGGCATAGATCCAATTAACCCTTAATTTTAAGGAGTAGGAGTGGCATGTCACCTAAATAATTAAAATTAAAATAATCAAAATGACATCGACATTTATGTTCATGTCAAAGAAAACCGTTAAGTTGTTAAGTTTATAGAGAATATTATTAATTCTATGACACTATTGTGTTATTAAAATATAGCTGATGATGCTTATTTGATGTCATCAGTATACTTTCTTTTGTAAAAATTTAGTTAAATTTAAAATTATTTGAGTTGGGTAAAGTTAGAGACTAACAAGTTTCTAAGAAAAATATAGTAACTACTCCCTCCATTTAAACTATACACTATTTTATCTTTTTATAGATAATTAGTAGCTTTTGTTATACACTTAGATATATGTTATATTTAAATATATATAGTAAAAACTATGTGACAACCTTCACCTCAAAAAGGTGTATATCTCATCTCCTGAGAAGTCAACCAATTTTAAAATAAATTTGACCAAATATTTTTAAAAATAATGTAATATATTTTGATGGTAAACATAGATAGAGATATAAATATTCGTACTGCATTTTTATAAATCTAGTTAAATTAGAAATTGATTCTCTTCAAAAACGATCTGTGCATTCTTATCGAGACGAATACAAAGGAGGGAGTATCTATCTATCTATCTATCTGTCGGTGCGAAAAATGACCAACAAGTAAATATTTATAGTTTTATCGTACGTTATGATCGGATGTGGCCTAGTACTCAATGACAGGGTTTATACTGGTTCAGGCAACGTGTCCTACTAAAAGGTCCTAATGGCTAGAGGGGGGTGAATAGCCTAATAAAAATTTCTACAACAACACTTAGCAAACCGGTTAGACAATTATGAGGCGAAGCAAGTGTTGTGCTAGCCTACTAAAATGGTAAACCACCAATCACAATTCTAGTTGATATAGTTTCTATCCATACAATAACTATGTCACTACACTAAGTTAGTGTGCTCTCAAAAGCTAACTAAAGAGCCACACTAACCAAACTAACAAGCTATCACAACTAGTTACACTAAAGAGCTTGGCAACTAGTTTGCGGTAATGTAAAAAGAGTGAGCAAGAAGGTTATACCGCCGTGTCGAGAAAGGAGCCAATCAATCACAAGAATGAATAACAATAAAGATCAATCACCTCGGAATCAAATGATAAACACAATGATTTTTTACTGAGGTTCACTTGCTTGTCGGCAAGCTACTTCTCGTTGTGGCGATTCACTTACTTGGAGGTTCACGCACTAATTGGCATCACACGCCAAACCCTCAATAGGGTGCCGCACAACCAACACAAGATGAGGATCACACAAGCCACGAGCAATCCACTAGAGTACCTTTTGGCTCTCCGCCGGGGAAAGGTCAAGAACCCCTCACAATCACCATGATCGGAGCCGGAGACAATCACCAACCTCCACTCGATGATCCTCGCTGCTCCAAGCCATCTAGGTGGTGGCAACCACCAAGAGTAACAAGCGAATCCCGCAGCAAAACACAAACACCAAGTGCCTCTAGATGCAAACACTCAAGCAATGCACTTGGATTCTCTCTCAATCTCACAAAGATGTTGAATCTATGATGGAGATGAGTGGGAGGGCTTTGACTAAGCTCACAAGGTTGTTATGTCAATGTAAATGGCCAAGAGAGTGAGCTTGAGCCGGCCATGAGGCTTAAATAGTGGCCCCCACGAAATAGAGCCATTGTACCCCTTCACTGGGCACAACACGGGGTGATCGGACGCTCCGGTCATATTGACCGGATGCTGGACCTCAGCGTCCGGTCACGTGATGCGTGCCATGTGTCCCCTCTCTTCAAATATTGATAGCCCAATCTCAACGGTTAAGTTATGACCAGACGTAGCAGCTCAAAGTGACCGGACGCTAAGCCCCAGCGTCCGGTCGTTTCCAGTAAGCATCCAGAGATGACTTTTCACGACCGGACGCGCCCGGTCATGCTCGACCGGACACACCCAGCGTCCGGTCACATGGCGACTCCCCTGTGCGCTGCCGCGTCAGCAGGACCGGACGCACCCCTCCAGCGTCCGGTCACTAAGTGACCCAGCTTCCGGTTAGAGACCAACGCCAGCGTCTTTGTAGCTTCTACTGACCGGACGCGCCGGTCCAACCGAGGCCAGCGTCCGGTCACTTATAGCGACCTCCGTCTTTTCTATCTAGGGCACCGGTGGCACCATCGGATTGTCCGCACTCTACGTGCGGACACTCCGCCGGTGAAGTTCCTAACCCTTACTCAAATGTGCCAACCACCAAGTGTATCACCTTGTGCACATGTGTTAGCATATTTTCACAAACATTTTCAAGGGTGTTTGCACTCCACTAGATCCTAAATGCATATGCAATAAGTTAGAGCATCTAGTGGCACTTTGATAACCGTATTTCGATATGAGTTTCACCCCTCTTAATAGTACGGCTATCGAACCTAAATGTGATCACACTCTCTAAGTGTCTTGATCACCAAAACACAATAGCTCCTACCATTTATACCTTTGCCTTGAGCCTTTTGTTTTTCTCTTTCTTCTTTTCAAGTCCAAGCACTTGATCATCACCATGGCATCACCATCATCATGTCATAATCTACATTTGCTTCACCACTTGGAATGTGCTACCTATCTCATGATCACTTGATAAACTAGGTTAGCACTTAGGGTTTCATCAATTCACCAAAACCAAACTAGAGCTTTCACCTACGTCTAGTTTGAGTCGGTCAGTGACTTTATTCCTGAGCCTAGGTTCTCAAAGTTTGTTGTAGCGTTACAAACGAGTAGGAGTAAGATGGGGGTCTTAGAGGTCCGGTCGGACTCTGGACCGAAGGGCCAAGAGTAACGGGAGCTCTAATGTGCGCTTAAGTGTTGGAACGTATGCTCTGTGTAGCTTTAGAGTTCTAGAGCTAGCAGAGAAAGAATCGAAATGATCCGTCTGTCTGTTTGGAGAGAGCACATCCCCTTTCATAGGTTAAGGGGATGGCCTTACAAGTGAGAGAGAAGTGAGAGAAGAGAGTGTCTGTGCTACCTAGTCTTGTTGCCCACACCGTCGGGTACAAGATGGTTTGTCAGCGCCCACAATACTGTTGATGGCCAGATGCATGTGGTAGGTTCCATCGTGTTCTTCTGATATGGCAAATGTCGGCACCTACCATACTGTAGGACAAATGTCGGCGCCCACAACACTGTTCGTGTTTTGGCATGTCTGGAAGGTTATAAAGTACCCTTCTGACATGACCTGACA